ACGCCAAAGGATATACAAGCAGGGGTACCACAAGGTTTCGTCTTGTCCCCCACATTATACAGTATATACGATACGCCCCAAACACCTGGTGTCTATCAAGGTCTCTTTGCTGATGACACACACACACACACACATATATATATATATATATATATATATATATCAAGTTTCATAAAGATCGGTTAAGGCGTTGAAAAGGTGTTGCGGAGAGACTGGAGAGCGCACGCGTACAGCAAGGTGCCCGATGCCTTACAAAGGCTTGGATACATGAAGTGCAACGCAATATACCGATTTCAGACTGACAACTCTGCTTAGGCGACAAGCATGGAAATCTACACAAAAATAAGAAAGAGAACCCAACACTGTGACTTCCGATAAGGGTTTTCTGTCCTATAATTTTGCTTATAGGAAGTACGTCGACACTTGAATATACCAAAGTCCGCACCTGGCATGGTACGCCCGCCTCAAGGTAAACCAGCATCGCTACAAACCACAGACCGCTCGCCATGATTAAAATAGTTAGGAAAGACTGAACCGAGCCCAAATGAGCACAGGGATAGTGCATTATACGCTCCATTGCATACTTCGGCCTTCCGATTAAATAACGTAAAGGTCAACCACAGCGCGATCGGATTACAGCAAGAAGATTAGTAGTGGTCTGGGCGCTCGCATTTGGACCAGTACCACAGGCAGCAAGCGGCAAGAGGATGTCGGGGCAGCGATAACCCAGTCGGAAGGCAACAGAGGATCCGTACATACCTTGATAAACCGCTTCGCTTTCGTGAGCAGTCCTAGTGTAGTGTGTCGGGAGGCTTCTGGTCCCAGCGGCACCATCTCTTTCAGCTTCTCCAAGCAGTTGCGTAGATGGGCTCGCCTGAAACACCGTTCATGTTATTAACCTGGAGAAAAGAACACGAAACGGCAATGCGTCTGTTTTCCCAGAAACGGAGCTCGTAAATTTATACTGCTGCAGATCCAGTGCCTAATACAAGGAGAAACACCAATACATGCTATTAACAAAGCACTCACCATTCGCGAGGAAAATTGAAGCATCATAAACTGAACTCACACTAAATGGTCGTTAAACGAGGATGAAATGATGGGCGGGGTATGTTGCACGCAGAGGCTATGAGAAATTCATAGAACACTTAGTGGAAAACCCCGAAGAGAACCACTTGTAATGAGTAGGTATAGATGGGAGGATATTGTTAAAATGAATCATTATATACGTGGGTATGAGAACGTGGACTGAATTCGTCTGGTTCTTATAGGGTCGAACAGAGGGTCTCTTTGAAAACATGGTAATGAGCACTGGGATTCCACTAAATGCGGTGAATTTTTAGACTGAATAATCATTACTTTCTCACGAATGTCTCTGCTAATCTGCAACCCCTACATTCAATTTATCATTATACGCACATTGAAAAAAATGAGAAGATAAATGAACAGAGTCGAGTATTACAACAACCACGTATTACTCATCTGGCACTACTTTCAGAACGTCGTTATGGAAAAGTTATCTGCGCTGTAATCATATCGAACCGAGTCTACGGGGTCGATTAACCAGATAGACCAACTTGGGAGTACGTTATTATGTTGCACTCCACTCATCTGTATTTCAGCCACAGCTACCTTCAAAGCAACTCCTGTAGCCTGTTCACGTTTCTTCACAGCAGTAGGCATACCCGGTTCGCCCCTTCCCTGCCTTCCCTGACGACAGACCCCTTATTATACTGAGCGATCCGGTACACTTCCCGTACGAAATGAATACTTAATACATAATAACTCAACCTTGTAGACCCTCTCCCACTGAAGACAATGCACCTACTTCTTGAGAACAATTTCTTTTGTACTCTTTCCAAAATCCAGCCGTCACAGAAACAATTACAGGGCATTAGTGTTGGCGTTTCATTGTCCTGTGAGCAGTCCGCGTGTAGTACAGCATTCAGTTTTCAGTCTCTAGTAAGTGAGCCGGCTACCAGGCGGACTTCGTCGCCAGATAACGTGCTTCGTCCATCGCTTTTGACGACCGAAGCAAGCAGCACTAGTTCGCCTAACATTTTGTATAGTAGTCGCATGATACGGTATCATGAGCCTACAAGGTATAAAGACGAAATTAATCCTTGACTTAACTAATCAAGCTCTATGCCATGAAGACGTGTGGGGGTATAGTTCCACCATTCTTCACCTCGGCACTAGATGCACATGAGTGGTCAGTTTCACGGCCTTGCCGTTTTACCCCCGGAGAAACAGCCCCTGGTGTCAACTGCATAGGAAGATACGTGGGCCCCAGGGCCGGTATGGACTTAAGGAAAAGAGAAAATCTCTCGGCTCCATAGAGAATTCAACTCACCCTCCTTCATCGTCCAGCCAGTATATCCCGACCCCATTTATACGCTCGTTCTATTACTTATTTCTGTGGTAACGCATGGTAGTAAGTTTTATAAGCACAAAACCTATCGCTCAGCGGAATAAAACGTGTAAGGTTGCCTAGGGACGAAACATCGGTGGGCAAAGATCGTTTTATGAATTTTACAGCATATGATATCACCTACCGACTACTAGGCAGAAGACTGAAAGAAACGGGACAAGGGGAGGAATACACCGTGTAGATAAACTAATACTTATAATGCACGTTGAAAATGGAACGGAAAATTTCATTTGTTATAAAACTGTTAACGATATTGTCACTGATTATGCATAAATATAAAGCAACATAAATTCCATTGATATTTCAACGGTAAGGGTGAAAAAAGGAAAAGCTGTCCCTGTACTTACTACTTAAGCACTACGCTATGAAGACGCATGGGGGAGTAGATGTATAGACCCACATTATCTTGTCCTCGCCACTAATTTGAGGTGAATGGTCAGCTTCACGCCCTTGCCGCTTTATCCCCGGGGAAAGAACCAGAGGTACCCATTGGATAAGAGGATGGGTGGACCCCAGAGCCGATCTGGACGACGTGGAGAACTAAAAATTCTTGATATTTCAATGGTGAATTATTAAAAACAACTTTCGTCAACAATAATTAACCTCTATTAAGTCGGAGGTTGTTGAATGACAGCTGAAATGATACTACAATTCCGCAGTTGCTAGAATAATAATATTCAATAAGCGATGCTATGTAAGAAAAATATCTTCGGCAAAGGCTGGCTACAGAACAAATTTTAACAAAACAAATAACCTCTCTATTTCTTTTATATAGAACATCACAATAAACCTTGTCTGTCTAATCATTAACCATGTATAGTCCATTCGCGGAGACGAGAGAGTCCTCGTAAACAAATATACGCGGTATCTCCTTCGCTCTTTGAATGAAATCATGCAGCGATCACGTGATGCGTGTACCGTTGCAGGGGCGTCCAAAGTTCACTCTTCAGTCTGAATGCAGGTTAACGTGCGTCCGAATGCAGTGAGTACATTGAGTAACTGCGCGCTTTGTCCACTCCTTGCTGTCAGCTGTGCCAACGCGGGGCTTGCTTTGTTTACGCTGTCTCGTCTCCGCGAATGGACTATAGATACACTTCCTTCCGTCATTACTTCACCTAACAGTCGGAGATTGAATGACCTCACCATCTGATGCAACCCAGACGAGACAATTCATAAATTGAAATAGCAGGTTATTATTTCGACATGACCAACACATGCTCCATTCCTACACAGATCTTGCAGTCTTTCCTTGTGTTGCTAACACGCAGTTGCACTTTACTGTGGCAGATCTCGAACGCAACAATTGGGCGGAGCCTTGGAAGCGTGCAATTCCCAACCTCAGCGGCAGTTCCATACACAACCGTCCCAACGTTCCACTCTTCTGCATTAAATTACAATTTTACTGAATATGCACGATATTACGAACGACAACTGGATACAATAACTACACTTGTTAGAGGTACGGTTCATTCTTCGTCAAGGTTTGCCTTAAAATAAACTGCGCTGAAACAGTGCACTTGCTTATTCATTATGACAGTCTTACAAACAAGACAAGATAATTCATCTCCCAATATACTTACTTAATCCGCTCCTCCTATGCATTTGCGGTGTCGAGGTTGTCTTTATTTTTCATTTTGATCATTTTACAGACGGTAGGACTCCTTGGACGAGTGATCAGCTCGTCCCAAGACCTCTACCTAAACATAGAATAACACAAACACAGAATAAACACATACAACACATACCAAACATCCATGCCTTGTGTGGGTATCGAACCCACGATCCCGGCTTCCGAACGAGCGGAGACCTCCTCGGCTACCGTGACCGGCTTAAAATTTTAAATTCGCATAGTGGGGGGTGAACTCCAGTTGGGTCCACTCCGCACGTCGGTCACTGATTGACCTACTGCACCTGCCCCGGCTGATTATGATGACGGAGAATTTGGTGGAATGAAGATTAGCAGGAGAAAACCTGCCTCAGCGACACTTTGTCCACCACAAATTCCACTTGACCAGACCCGGGCTTGAACGCGGACCGTCGCGGTGGGAAGCCAAAGACTAACTCGCTTGCCGTGACCGGTTTTCTCAATATAACACAAAGAAAAAACTTTACTTGCAACTATCTTCTAATATATAACTAGGAACCTTTTCAGATTCAATGCGATACAATTACAACTCGAAGCTTTAAAAGCAAAGGGAAAGACCGCAGTAAATAACGCATACAGAAGCCGTCGTTTTCTTAGTACTTGAGTATATTCAACCTCCAGGACAAACACAGAGAGTACCTGTTTCGGGCTTGCGCAGGTGAGCCTTGTGGGGAAACAGCGTGGATGCATGTTGAAACTCTCTATTCCTGTATTGTATTCCGCTAGTTTACTTTCAGAACACTTAAAGCTGCATCAGGTGATACCGATATCGGAAGAGGCCTATCAGTATTTATGGAGCGATAAGAGTATAATCATCTGTACACATATTCTTTTGTCCGAAAGGCAACAATAAGACAACGCGATGTTTCTTTGAATCGTGAGTCTACAAGACAACATCCGGGAAGTCACTGTAGACTGCGTTACGGGCCGACACGGTACACCGCTTGGCGACAGCACCTATAATTCTTCAACATGAAAGAAAATATGATTACAGTCATTATACATAACTGACAGCATAAAGTATTGACTCTTCCCGAGGAATTCATGCTATCGTATTTCTACAACGAAGCTGGAGAACAACACTTTTGACGTCGGCGCTGCGAGACGAGGGAGAACTGGTGAACATTTATCCCAGAGAATATCTCAAATATCTAGCCGCATTTTCTAGAGTTCTAGACCACAGTTCCTACTACATAGTGCAAGCACGTGTTAAACGAAGTTCGCTTGAAGTGGTGTATTTTAGGCTTCANCTAAAAGTTGGCACTAACTTAGCCGACAAACAGCGGTCGTTCCGTTGGTATAGTCCGCTTGCGGACTATAGGCCACGGAGTTTATTTTGTTTTATGCATATATGTTAAGCAAATTACAAAATTTGCATTGAGTATTCAGCAGAGCACAATTCAAAACCCATTATGGTAATAAAGTACTGAGCCATGGTATGTTCCAGTCCTTATTTAATAGACATCAATTAACAAATACATGACATAGGAACACACTGAAAAATATTAAACCCACCCACCCATTTATGTGCAATACGTACACGTGACAAAGTCAAAGGGAAGCCTGTTCATAAAAGACAAACCCGTCCTCTCGTCAGAGTGGGACTATGGCCACAGGGGTTCAGTTGCAAAACGAAACTCTGGTCGTGATCCTTGAGGAAATTACAGCCAAGACGAACTGATTGGCGGTAAACGGCCAGCCGTAAAGATTTTTTTTAATTCGCTTAGTGGGGGGTGGAGTCCAACTGGGTCCACTCAGCACGGCGGCCACTGATGGGCCTATTGTAGCCTGCC